GAGAGAGAGAGAGAGAGAGAGAGAGAGAGAGAGAGAGAGAGAGAGAGAGAGAGCAAGGATGGGGGAGCATATCGCATGACAAATGGGCGTACCGTAATGCAGGCTGTTACGCCATCCTCGGTCCTGGAGCACGTCAGAACCTTCGCGCCAAGGCAAGCCAGCTCCTCCACGATAGCTTTACCGATTCCCTTCACAAAACGTGCATGGTGAGCAGGAAAAAAATCACTAACACGCGACGTGGGATAGAACCACACTGAAAGCGTGCTGCAGGATCAAACCCACAGCTGTTTCTCTATTAAGCTTCCCGCACGCTCAACGGCTCCTCCACTGCTGACGGCGTGGTCTTACACGAGGAGCCCAGAGCGAACCTCGAGTAACCAAAAAGAAGCCTACACACATATGTACATACGTCAGCCGGTATGCACGGTCGATGCTAAAAATTATACATCAGTTACTTAGACTACATCCGCACATACTTGTACATATCATACACATACACATGAAAGCGCACAATATGTGATTTTTCTGTACGACAGTCGTTCACTCCGACTATCGCCCTTGGGTAGGGTAGACTCACAAGAAGACAGCCTTTTGTACTTCCCCGTGTGCCTGATGACGCGTCTACGGCACCACCATCGATCGACCCTGAGCAGGTGTGCCGCTAGCTCGTGTCACACTCTATCTATGAATAGCCTTCGGAACCTCTCTACTCCATCTGCTACCTGTCCCCCAAGTGTTGGAAGTGTACTATCATCACGCAAAGCAAACAACCGCTATATATTACATCAATCTGCTGCTGTTTCATTCAACAGCAACGGACGCAGAGGGACCGACAAAATATATCTCGATCGATGCTGCTGCGTGTCGTTATACCAAAAGCAATCCAGTTGGTCTAGACTGATGCCGGGTTTTGGCACGTATGTTGCACGTCTGTTTTGTTACTTGAAAGCGCCCGAGCACAGGGCTCTAGCTTCCCTTCTCGGCAAAAAACAAACCCACCCCGCCAGTCTGTGACGGCGCGCGACTTGGGTTTAGAGTTGCTTCCGTGCTGGTTCGTACATCTGGTGGATTCGTAGATTCCGTCGTAGATTATGGAGAAAGTTGCTTCACACAACTTTCGTCACATCTTCTTTCACCACAGTAGAAACCCAGGTCCGTACAGGTGACAACCTTTAAGATCGGTACCGTTACGATGCGCATAGCCTGTCGAAGCAGCCATAGCGTTGCCTATGTTGTCGTGATTTAGAGTTGTAGATTCTTTGTCTTGTTTCGAGAGAAGGTATGGGGAGGAGGTAGGCTGCATGATACATTGGTGGAGATGAGCCCCAACAGCTTCACTGTGCGACAACAAAGAATGGTTTATTGTGTAGCAGTTCCCGACTTGTCTTATGCATCTTGCATGTTGTGTGCTCCTCCTTCGGTCGTTTTCGAAATCACTCAAGAAAAGCTACATACAGATAGCGCCCGTGTGACTACATGCACTATAGCGGCACAATCACTTTGTGCGCCGAAAGATCGCTGGCGTGCCTCGCCCAAGAGAAAAAAACATGCGCCGTAAAGACCAGCAGAGAGCCCAACAGGCAGCCCACCACACAAGCACGCAAATGAGCAACGTGCGCAAGGGTACACGTAGTACCATTTGTACAGCAGTATTGTCTCTGATGTAGGGCAAATATGTCCTTGCTTTCCAGTTCCACTCTACTGCCTACTGCTTTAAGATCCAAACGGAAATACCACGGGAGGGTACATACAGCACCCTCAACATGTGATCAACCCGGGGTCTCGCTTGTGCGATGGAGAGCAGGGATAACGCACTTCGGAGCCGATGCTAACGTACTACCTCGGTGCCTGATGTGGTCATGACCGCGGTGTGTGTGGTCCAAAATGTTGGGAGTGAAAGGAGATTCGTGTGCTGTGTGCAATTTTCGCTCAAGGGAAAGGACTCTCGGGATTACATGCACGATAACCCCTCTCAATCTTTAGTGCGGAATTGTATAATTTGCCGTGTTTCTATCCATTTTTTACGACGGTGATATCGTGGGGTCGATTTGCTGAGTGAGCCGGGAAAAAACAAAGCTAAATCAACCGAGTCACCTGAAACTCTGATGGGAAAAAAAGGCTTAAGTAACTTCGAAAAACAAGAATGAAAGGCAAAGGAACACAGCTCAATCTCGGCCACAACATAAGAAACGTCCCAATAAGAAACATGATGGTGCGGTACCCCCAACACATAAGAAAATAGGAGTAGCTGGGGGAGCGTGTCCAGTAAGAAACGTCCCACAGCTGCTCCTTCCATGCTTCCACCCCCCTACCTAGCTGAACAGCAGTGCATTTTTTTGTAGGGGGGAGAGTGGTTATGTTCGCGGCGCCCCCCGCGACCTTGCTGCCTGCTGTTCAAGGTGCTGTACTGAAGTACGGCCACACATTGCGGACAACGACTTGCTGTCCGCTGTACGGGTTTGATGGCACTCTCCACCGCCTCTCTTGAGGGCTTGAAGAAGCGGGTTGTCCTCAGAGATCAAAAGGCAGAATAAGAAAACACGAAGTACTTGGAAGAAATAAGAGAACCCGGAGGATGCGACAGTCCAAAGGAACAAGAAATGCCTTTTAAGAAAATGGGCGACTTCGGCTGGTCCTTCGATCCAAAATATGGGAATGAGGCTCGACCCGATTTTGACGTTTCTTTGCGGGCGCTACCTGTATTATACCTGTATTAAACCTCCAATAAGAACCTTAAGGCCAATTGTTGGAATTAGGCGGGGACATTTCTTGACCCCAAAAAAGGAGAATCTTTGATTCTCTTTCTGGCCCAGCAAACGTACAAACCCTCGCCACGCCAAAGAAGCGCTGCATTTGCGCGTAGTGTCCGGCGTGCCAACAGTAAGGCAGTGACTAGGATCAGGATTAGATATCCGGTGAAAAACAAGAGACACGTTTCTTGAGAATATCCATATGCAAATGATCGTTCAATGGAAATTTTGCAGTTTCCATGGATTGGTACGGCACGTGAAGACGGCGGCGACAAATCCTCGCGGACAGAAAACACGGTTGGAGAGAGGCCGCCTGCTGTGAGAATCTAGGTTTCCAATGCCGGACAATTGATATCAGAGGACGATTTCGGGGAACGAAGAACAAAGTGCTCAGTGCCGAGGTCTGGGGCAGGGTATTCGAGTGGGAGTTAAGAAAAATGCCGTTCGAGCAGAAGCCTGTGAGGGGTATTTCAGGGCTTGAAGCTGCTTGCTCTCCGCTCTCGCCCCAACTTATCCCGAGTGACATATAACGCCCATTAATTCGGGAACATGACCGGACTTTGAGGTGTGGTGACGCTTCGGTCGCCATCTCTTTGTTTGCGAATCAACAACACCCATATTCAACGCACCTTAGCCAGCGAGGGGTTGCGTGCGTTTGCTGATCGAAAGCACCATCTGGTCAAGGTTCTGTGCTTCATATTGTACGAAAGCCGAAAGCTTTTGTTGCTGTCATGCAACACGTCGTGAGTTGCATGCCCTCATCCTGAACTCAGCGCTGGGTTCGACCGATCCGATTATTCGAGCGAAGCGAGATTTCTAATCTTGCCTGAGAGGGCTCAGCGCAATATAGGGGCCGATGCAGGAAAAAAAGTGCGTGCGTGTGTTGTGTTCGCTTAAACTAGGTTTTAGAGTACAGGACTTGATTTGTGACTACAGGGCGCACTTTTTTTTTTTACACAGCAGAGCAGCAAACAGCAACAGCAGACAACACGCGCTCAGCGAGCAGACTGAACACACACGCACAGCAGACAACACGCGCTCAGCGGGCACAGCGACACACCAACAGCGCAGAGCGGACACAGCCACAGCGGCCTGCATGGCATGGCAATTG